CATATGATCAACTTTTGCAATCTCTTGACAAATAAAGTCAATTGGGAAGCCAGATTCACCTGACAACTGTGTTACTAACTTCAAAACTGCAGTAATTCACTTAACAACAATGGCAAGAAAGGTCATAAAATGGGGCAAAACTAACTTAACAATTGACTCACTTAGCAACAGAAATTTTGGGCTAAATTGTGGTCATAAGTCAAAGACTACCTGTACTATAGTTATAAGGAAACGTATTTAAAATGCTGTCCAGCCGCCATTTCTAATTTTGTTCAAGCTTGTTCAGATCTTTCTCTTTTGACCAGTTTCCTCCTTGCAGATTGCTCTAGGGCAGGGGTGACAAACTGGTGGCCCATGGGCTAGATGCATCACTCACAGGCCATGCCCACTCCAGCTCCATGAAGGGGAAAAAGTCATGATACATCATGTGATAGCAACATGAAACCAGGAGAAGAGTAATCTATACTCTTGCATTACCACTCTTCTAGACCATACATAATGGTTGCATATGTAACAAGGAGGTACTATATAAGGTGTGGCACATAAAGTATACAATTTTTGAATTACAACATTAAATTGGAAACTTGAGTTTTAAAAAATCCATTTAAACAGGACTTAGTTATTTAAAATACTAAAAAAAAGTTATTATTTCTATAGCCTTTCTTTAATTAGCAAATTTCTGTCAACCATTTTAATTAATAGTGAGCTAAACTTTCTAAATAAATAAATCTTAATCCAATTAATAAATTCTGATATGAAGGCTAATCTAATAAGCTTTTTGCTGTTTGAATTCTGTGCTAATTTGAAAATACATAATGCAGTATCTAAATTTAGTCATCTATAAAATACTTTCATTCAAATTTCCTCATACCCTAATTGTTCCACAGAGATGGAAGTTAAATCTTCAAACCAATATCCTTTACAACCCAAGTCTGTCATCAAAGTGAAACAACCAACTTGATTGCAGAGGTATTTTAAAGTTTTCTGCAACACTTATTTACATAAGAACTGCACTGCAGAGAACTGTATTTACTCTAATCATAACATATGACTACAGTGTACAGTGAGAAGTCTCACATCTCAGATGTAATTTTTTAAAAGTATGTTATTACCACCTTGAAGTCTGATTTGGGCTAGAAAGGTCTTGAAGCTTTCCTGAATACACACACTGGAATCCATGCATCTGCTGTTCCTTTACATTCTCTAAAAAAATACTATTCAAGTCAAATCTTGCATTATAATTCCATGTAGAGCACACTGCGACACATGTGGGGTTTGGGAGGCCAAAAATGGGCCCGTTTTTGGCCTCCCAAATCCCCCATGTGTCACGTTTTTGCTCTCCCCAGCCCCCAGGAGCACACTGCAGGCCTCCCAAACCCTCTGCACATCCCATTTTTGCATAAAATAAGCCAGTTTTTCGCAAAAATGGGACTGTAGAGGATTTGGGAGGCCTGCAGAGTGCTCCTGGGGGCCGGGGGAGGGCAAAAACTTGATGCGCTAAGGCCAAAAACTATTTTTTTCTTGTTTTCCTCTTCAAAATCTTGGTGCGCCTTATACTCCAGTGCATCTTATAGTCCAAAAACTCCAGTATGAACAGATTCCTGTTACTTGATAAACCTTAGCAACAGGCCTACCTAACCCTACGTTCCAAGAGTCTAATGACCATGTTAATGAAATCATCTATTTATTCCTGCAAAAGAGAATGAGGCCAGTCCAATGCAATAATTAAGAACTGCTTTATCTGATATACAAAGAATTCCACAATAACAGAAATAGTATGAAATAAATTGCACATTTAAAATGTAGATCTTCTCTCCCTTATCAATTACTATAAAATAGCAATATAATATAATTGTAAAAATTCTAAGCATAGCATGGATCACAAATTGTAGAGTCACTAAATAACTTAGTAAATAAATCACTGAAGCCATTTGGCAAAATCTAACATTTGTTCTTCTACATGCAAAAAATATCAATGTGGAATTATACTGATTTCTTTATATCCCTATTATTACTTCATAGAAACAACTGCAATCGTAACTACTTCATTTACTCCATGAAATATAAAGTTGGAGAATCCTTTCAATGTCTTCAGATATCTAAAAGCTAGGGCTGGATAAGTTTGAGATGCCTAAATGTGGAGTCTTTAGGAGTTCAAATAACTTAGCATAGGAGTTTTCTCTCAACAACTTAAAGAGGAGAGAACTTTTTCACATTCATTTCCTTCTGCACAACATTCATACTATGACTCACCACTGACAATGCTGACTGTAGATGTTGGAAACTGCATGACACCTTTGACGGGCTTCAAGTTCCTCAGTCCCAATTACAAAAATGTAATATAGCTAACAATGGAACAATTCAGTCAAATGTTAAGAAAGGTGGAAACTTTTCTATTCTCAAAACACACACATACACAAATTATAAGGGCAGGTACCTTGCTTGGCATGTAAATAAACTGCATCCTTTACATTTAATTTTGAGTTTAAGATTCTTTTTTGGGAGGTGAATCATGATCATTTTCCATATAAAATTAAAAATAGCTTTTTTCTTCAGCATCTCATAAGTAATATAATTCACAGTTTATCAAAAATATAAGCCAAAAAACCTCTTCAACTGAATAGATATGTGTGCTACCCAAATAAATTACTGTAGGTTCTCTTTTTTAAGATTAAAGAAGTGTAGCAGCAATTAGAAATTTAGAACAAAACTCAATTCATTCTTAAAACATATTGTGAAGCTTACTGTAAAAGCTTTATAGGTACAAATTCAATAGGAATTTACCTGATGTCTAAGTTCATGAAAGCAAAGGATCACATACACAAAGTTGCTATAGTTATCACAACACCAGTTATCAATTACTGTTTATAAACAAGGCAGCATTTAAATTCTATCTTAAATAGAACTGAGCATAGTAAAACACAATTCATTTTGAACACAAGCGAAGTTTGTATGGCACTCATATGTCAATTTGTGGAACAAACTAAAATACTGTATTACAAACATTCTAATCCTCACTAGCATTGTTTTCCTGTACATAATATTCTAGATTTATTTTCTTCATCCAGAAACCAGTTTTCTGAAACTGCACAAAATGCTATAAGATATAAAAATGAAGCTAATATGTACAAACTAGGCAGAACATGCTCTTAAACATTCTATAATAAATTTTAAGGATTATATTATAAATTTCTCGTTGAAAACTGTACCTAACTTTCAACACTATAAGAAAATGCTGCAATCTCTCTCTGGAGTCAGATTGCCTTAACAAATCTAATAAATATTTTTCTCCTAGTTAGGTTATAAAGGGACTATTTCTGATTCAAACTAGGAGCTACTTAGAATTAAAAATAGATTTTAGTTGAACAAAAATACTATTAAATTATTAAGTTCATAAACTTTTAAATGCATCCACCAAAAGAAAAATCCTGTTCTGTCCAACAATACTTTTCTATAAAATTTTACATAAACTCTGTTAAGGACCAGGTTAAACACTTTTTGATTTTATTCTAAATGCTTATGATTTCATTACCAACTTAATCATTTTAACGGGGGAAATTTCTTTAGATTCAAAACCATGATTGTTCAATACCGTATTAGCAATAATTAAGGGCAATCATCTAAATTTGTAGACAATAGATATTGCTACACTTACATTCTTCCTCTGTTCATTAAAAAAAAAAGTAATATTGAAAGATAATCAACACTTGGTAATGTCGCAATTTATTTTATTTAAAAAAACCCGCAAACTTATGAGTAATAATAAATAACACAAGCTGAAATTTCTTATTTGAGAAATCTTAACTGTGCGGGATCAATTAACATCGATGGCCTCGGCCTGCACACCAATCAGCAAAACACCTTTCCTTCAAATGTTGGAGACACCTCCATTCTTCTCCCCCATCTTCGCCCCAGTTACTCATCTAACTCTTTAAAATGTCTCGGTTACACCCGGATTCAGAACGCCCTATGTTGCTAAATCGAAAGCCCGTCTCCAGCAAAATATGCACTTTTAATCGAGACAACAGCCGGTAGTGCAAGATACCTATGTTTCTAGGTGGAACGATGCCGTGCAGACTATTTAAACAAACCCGAGACTTCCCCCAACCTTTTAGTCTTTGCAGAGTAAAGCCACGAGTAAATCTGAAACGAATGCCTTCGATCTCAGTAGCTCCTACAATTACCGCCGCGCCCAACCTACCGCAGTTCAAGTCGACACTCCAATTCAGCCTCAAGCCTGGGGAGGCTCTGCTAGTTTCGGTCCTCCGGCAACACTTCCCACTCTACCTGGACTTACCGAGCCTCGTTTTGCGAGTACAGGACACCGGCTACCTCCACTTCGCCTCAGCGTCCTCGCCTTTCTCAAGCTTCTCCACCTAAAATCCTTCCAAGGCCCATGTTTACCTTCTGCAAGGCCGCCTCAAAGGCCTTACGCAGGATAGCAGAAGTGTAAAAGTATAGTTAGTGGAGAGGGACTCCCGACTCCAGGGCCCCGTCCCGCACATGAAATCCATCCCCGCCCAGTCTCCAAAAGACACAGGGTCCGGAGTGTATCCCCACCACCTTTCAGGGAAACCTTGGTTCCCGCTGTTGCACTTTTCTGATTTTGTTTAATCATCTGAATCTATGCTTTGTTTAATCATCTGAATCTATTTTTTGTTTTCATCATTAAAAAAGAAATCACAGGAGTTATTTACCCCACCCAGTCACTTCCTGTGTGGGATCAACATACTCCATCTTTCTCCTCTGCCCCCTCTGACGGCCCCGCGACCGAACCGATCCCGGGACAGGAAAAATCACCCTGAGACCCAACTCAAGTTTCCGTAAGAAAGGTAAAAAGGAGCCTCGAAGAAATACAAACACTGGCGGGAAGACGAAGCGCAAGGTCCCGCACAGGGCGTGTCTTCAACTATGACTGCCTTTGTTGCTCTTGCTATTTTTCTGGGCAAACACGGGCCACTCAAGAGTTTCCACCTTTCCCCTTTCTGCAGAACTCGTACCGGTTCTCGCCGTCCGCCGCGGCCACTATAGCTAAACCGACTGCGAGGGTATGCGAGAGAGACTTAAAATGGCGCCGTTCACAGGGAGCTTCTTATAGCGACTGCAGAAACTCGATTGTATCCTGCCGCCACTTCGCCAGGCCTTGCGCGCAGCAATCCACAGGCTACCCACTCAGTAGCGCGGAGGACGCGCACACACATACAAAGGAAGGTGGAGAAATAGTGCGCCTCTACCCTTCTTCTTTCGTTTGCGCGCGCGCACATAAAAACATGAACATAACAAGGCGGGGGAGATAAAACGAGGGGGGAACTCTTACCAGACACTACTAAAGGAGTTTCGGGAAGGCGAGGAATTGTGGGTATGGGGGGGGGGGAGAAGTGGAGCGTACAAGAACTAGTCACAAAGGGTGCAGGGATTCAGCCCTGAATTGAGGCGTGATGCGGCTAAACAGGGAGGGCAGAGAGTTGATCGCTCGCTGTTAGAAAGAGACTTTTTCCAGGGACAGGCAAGGAGAACGATACTCGTAGCCTGAAGGCAGGAGGAAGTTATAGTAGCTGGCTGCAGAGTAAGCCCTCTTTAAAGGTGCAGGGAACCTCCCGCACTCAAATCTACTGTACAATTGGTGTGCTTTTTCATTCAAGATTCATCATAAAGGGACAATAATTACGTTTTCCTCCTCATTTGGAGCCGCGAAAACGAGATTGTTGACGAAATGTTCTGTTTTTCTTTTCAGAGTTTCCGGTACTGCTGCTAACTTGCTTGCATTCTCGTTGGAGACAAGTAAAATAAGACTGAAATGAAAATCTTCGGGATTGTATCGATTTGCTTAGTACTTTTGTTCCGTCTGACTGGACGAATACTTAGCTCCGAATAGTATTCCATCCCCATCATCTCTAACCACTTCTGCCCTCTCCCAGTAAAGCAGCCCTTTAAATTTAAGTTCTGGACGGGTTTCGGGAAAGGAGGTGGCGGTGACTTTCTCACGTTAGTCGGAAGCGCTTTTTGCACTTCCCTCAATACTCGGCACGGAGCGGTTACTAAAGCACACAATCGACGTGCTTTTCCAGCTACACTTACAGGGGGTGAATGAGTGGTCAGTGGAGATGCAGATATTAGATTATAATAAGCGCCGTATTTCTATGGCTTATTTTGCAAATGCGTCTAGCATAGGTTATGCGATTTTTATATATGTCAGTTATAAATTCGAAGAGCCTATATTTGCGTACGAATATCTACAACCCTTAGAACGTTTTCGGGAGTAAGCCAATTCACGCGAATGCATGTAATTTCTAATAAACACATACTGTATTCTCGATTCAAGACTTTTTTTAAAAAAAATACAATTTTATATACGTTGTAATACTTTTTAAAAATGCTTCTTCAAACTGGAATTTTATATTGTCGTAGTTTTAACATTTAATACGATCTGACATTTTGGTCGACTGATTAATTTGAAAATCTGGGACTACACTCCTATCAAAACTCTTAAATGTTTGCTAATTTCTTTCTGTAGATTTCCTCCAAGATAATGTTTAATTTAAACTGTAAACTGCACGAAAATTAATTTTGCACGTGGAAACTCCACATGAACGTTTCGCTTACGTACCAAGAGTTTATTTTGCTCTGGTCAATCGGATAATGAGCCCCTTCCTGGCCATAACCTACATTTATTTGTCAGAATCTCACTGAATTAAGTGATTGATGAATCTATAATCATACCAAACTTAAAAACTGACCAACTCGCTGCCTCATTCGGTCTAGAGCAGATATTTACACGAAAAGTGCGCTTGGCAAAGAGGCAAGGAAACCTGGGCAGCTTCCGGTCTCTTACACAACTTTGATGTTTCCTAGGCGAGGCAAACTACTACACTCGAGCAACATGGGATCCGGACCAAGCGGGCCAAGGGCGCTGTTTATTCTTTTTACTTGGCTCCGCCTTTGTTCCGAAGCGAGGACTTCGAGGCCGGAATTGAGATGTTAGGATCTCTGGGAAGCCACGTGGGAAAACTGAATTTGCCTACAGTATTATCTCCCTCCATCCGCTCTTTTATTTGCACCTTTACACGGTCTGATCGTGTACTCTTATTTTACGGGGCTGTTCTGGGAAGTCTGGATTTCTACGGGAGACTCGTCTTTTATGGCGGTTTTAGTATGCATGCCACTGGGTTGCCGATCTCATTGAATTCAAGGGGACTTACAACCGATTAAACATGCGTAAGATTAGCTTGCAGAATTAAGCAATGTACTTTATTTGATAGTTATTTTACAGTCGGTTGTTTCTACAATTCAGTGTGTGTAGCTATTTTTATTTATTTTTATTTTATTTATTTTTATTTTATTCGGCTTATATGCCACCCTATCTCCCAATGGACTCAGGGCGGCTTACATTAATAAAAACACAAGCCACAATACAAAATAAAATCTAAAAAATTTAAAATTTAACTCTTAAAACCCCCCCATCAGACCAGGTCAAGCGATTTAAAAAGCCAAGTTTTTAATTCACAACGGAAGGTGTGAAGGTCAGGCGCTAATCGGAGCTCCAAGGGAAATTGATTCCAGAGGGTGGGTGCACCGACCAAGAAGGCTCTACCCCTGGGGGCCGCCAGCCAGCACTGTCTAGCCGACAGCACCCTGAGCAAGCCCTCTCTATGGACTCGAACCGGGCGATGGGATATCGTTGCTGGCTGTAGGTGGTCTGCCAAATATCCTGGGCCTAAGCCACGTAGGGCTTTATAGGTCATTACCAGCATCTTGAATCTCACCCAGAGGGCAACCGGTAATCAATGCAAGCCACGCAGGAGGGGTGTAACATGGGAGTATCTGGATTCTCCCATCAAAACCCGTGCGGCTGCATTTTGCACCAACTGAAGCCTTCGAGTGGTCCTCAAGGGCAGCCCCATGTAGAGAGCGTTGCAGTAGTCAATCTGTGAGGTGACCAGCGCATGAGTAACTGCGTAGGGCATCTTGGTCCAAATAGGGACGCAACTGGCGCACCAGACATATCTGGTGAATGCACCCCTGGTCATGGTCGTTATATGATCTTCTAAGCTCAACCGTGAATCCAGGAGGACGCCCAAGTTGCGCACCCTGTCTACAGGGGGCAAAACTTCACTCCCCTATAGTCAGCGATGACACACCTCCCCTGAACCGAAATGCCGGTACCCACAGCCTTGGCTGGGTTGAGTTGTAGTCTGTTTCTACCCATCCAGACCCGTACTGCTTCCAGGCACTGGGCCATCACGTCGAGGGCATCGCTAGGTTGGTTCGGGGTGGAAATAAAGAGCTGAGTATCATCAGCATACTGATAATACCTCACCCCCAAACCACGGATGATCTCCCCTAGCGGCTTCATATAGATGTTGAACAGGAGGGGCGAGAGGACCGACCCCTGGGGCACCCCACAAGTGAGCGGCCTCAAGGTCGATCTCTGCCCCCCTGTCAACACCGCTTGCGTTCAACCCGAGAGGTAGGAGGAGAACCACCGTAAAACAGTGCCCCCCACTACCAACCCCTCGAGGCGACGCAGCAGGATACCGTGGTCGATGGTATCAAATGCTGCCGAAAGATCCAATAGGACCAGAACAGAGGAATAACCTCTGTCCCGGGCCCTCCAGAGATCATCCACCAGCGCGACCAATGCCGTCTCTGTGCTGTACCCGGGCCTGAAACCTGATTGATACGGGTCAAGGTAATCTGCTTCATCCAGGACCAGTGGAAGCTGACCACATTCTCGACAACCTTCGCTAAAAAGCGGAGGTTAGAGACTGGATGAAAATGACTTAAAACAGCTGAATCCAAGGCCGGCTTCTTGAGGAGGTGCCTCACCACCGCCTCCTTCAAGGCGGTCAGGAAGTTACCCTCCCTCAAAGAAGCCGCTATCACTGCCTGGATCCAGCCTTGTGTCACCTCCCGGGCTGAATAAACCAGCCAGGAGGGACACGGGTCCAACACACATGTGGCCGCACTCAGCTTCCCCATGATCCTGTCCACTTCCTCTGAGGTAACAGAGTCAAACTCTTCCCAAAGCACAAGACCCACTGTCTCACCCCCGTCTGACTCTGTCTAGTCAGAGTCCAGGCCGTCCCAAATCTGAGCGATTTTGTCTGACAGGTGCTGACCAAACTCCTTGGCTCGTCCCTGTAAAGTGTCTTCCCTCAACCTCTGATTTAAGAGGGAGCGGGACACCCTGAACAGGGCAGCCGGACGATTCTCTGCAGATGCGATGACATCAGTGAAGTAGCGGCGCTTTGCCGCCGCCAACTCCACCAGGTAGGCCCATGTGGCCAACCTTAACTGAAATCGGTCAGATTCGGAACGACTGGCTCTCCAACAGCTCTCTAGGCCTCGTCTATGCCGCTTCATCCCCTGGAGCTCCTCAGTAGACCAGGGAGCCAACCGGGGTCTGCAACAAGTCAGAGGCCGCAAAGGAATGACCCGGTCCAGAGCCCCGGCAGCAGCCTCTTCCCAGGCCTCCACCAGGGTAGTGGCCGGGGAGTGGGAGAGAGAGAGTGGGATCATCCCAAGCTCCGTCTGGAACATCTCAGGGTCCATCAGAACCAAATGGTCGATTCCGCCTCCCAGCGAGGAGGGGTGGCGTAACAGAAGCCTAGCCGAAGGAGATAGTGGTCGGTCCATCACGGGATAAATCGAAGGCAATCCACCACCGAGCTCCACTCGCCACTGCTCCGAGACAAAAACAAGATCGGACGTGTGACCTCCCCATGAGTCGGGCCCTGAATAATCTGAGTCAGGTCCATCGCTGCCATGGAAGCCATGAACTCCCGAGCCACCCCCAATGCCGCACCCAGAGATGGCAGATTGAAGTCCCCCAGAACAATAAGTCTGGCAAACTCCACCACCAGCCACGAGAGGGCGTTGAGTAGCCCGGGCAGGACTGTTGATACGCAGCTGGGAGACAGGTACACAATCAACAAGCCCAACTGGCCATATGGGCCCCACCTCATGAGGAGGGCCTCACATCCATCAATCTTAGGAGCAGTGACCTCCTGCGGACTAAGGACCTCCCTAATCACCACCACCACCACCACCATCCCTCCCCTACCCTGGGCCCTTGGCTGGTGCAGCACCCGGAAGCCTGGTGGGCACAATTCAGTCAGAGGGACACCCCCCTCTGGGCCCAACCAGGTTTGTGTAATGCAAGCCAGGTCTGCGGTTTCCTCCTCAATCAAATCACGAATGAGGGGAGCTTTATTGACCACAGACCTAGCATTAAAATAGACCAGCCCAAGCCCAGGGCCCCAGTCTCTCAAACCCCCAGGAGGTCGGATAGAACCAGGAGGCTCGGAGCACGCCACCACTCGGATATAGCGGGGGCGGGCTCCCAAAGTCTGATACGGCCCTCCGTTCCTCCACCTACAGCCATTCCCAATCACAATTGGTATCTGGAATCCCACCCTCACCCCTGGTGCACCTGGGTGACCCAGCACCGCACCGAAACCTCCGCCAACTCCCCATAACCTGGTCTGGCAATGACTCGGCAGGGCCCCCCCAACCACCGGCTGGATGTCAAAACCCACCCCCCTCCCCAAACCCCTTAAAAATGCAGTTATTATGCCACAACACAAAACTTTTGAGTTGTAGATTGGCTCAAGCCTGGCTAGGTGGCTCAGACGCTTAGCTTGTCGATCAGAAAGGTCCATGGTTCGAATCCCTAGTATAGGTCTTCTGCTTGAGCAGGGGGTTGGACTAGATGACCCCCAAGACCCCTTCCAACTCCGTTACTGTGTGCTTGTTGGTGCATTCTTGGGGGGGGGGAAGAAATTGTGTTTTGATTAGTTAGAGATAATGCTTACTATCCTTGCATATCTTGGAATAGATTTACTCAAACTATTTCTTCCTTGAAGTTGTTTTCCAATAACTGTTCAATCTTTAATGCATGTATTAAAAGAGAATTTAATATTTGTATAGACAACTCAGGGATGGAGTGCAATTGGTGCAGGAATCCCAAATACATATATTTGGGAGACCCATTGACTTACTATAATATATTGTAAACTAAAAAGCTGCTGTGACTGGATTGTTTAAGACCTTTAAAAATGGGAAATGGATTATGGTGATTGGTAATATGAACATGTTTCTACTTGGATTAGGGAATCATTGTCCATCAACATAATTGGTTCAGGGGTGGGTTCTACTTACCTTTACTACCAGTTCGTATCGTGTTCGCATGCACAGATCAACTTTGATGACATTCAGGTCAGTGGGTGGAGCCTCCCGCCGGTTTTACTACTGGTTCTTGCGAACCAGTTCGAACCGGGGGCAACCCACCACTGAATTGGTTGGAAAAGAGCACAT